GTGGGGATTCCCCCATCTCCTTGCAAAATATCAGAGGGTTTGCCCCTTGCTGCGCCGTTCCGTCAACACCACCCCGCCAGTCGCAGTGCAGGTCCTGGAAGACCCGTCACAGCCCTCCGCCGGAGTACCTCCTGATACTCCGGCATATCCCATAATCTGGCACCCCCTGGGTTCCAAAGGTGCCAGATTATCAGAAGTCTACTGTATATAGAAGCCATTGGGTTGGGTCTGTGGGCTTGTTCATGACTCAGTTTAGTGCCTCTCTGGTGCACCCTTGTGTTAATTTTTATAACTACAGGCATGCTGTTACTGTATGTACATAATTTTATACTGTATACACCTATGTGAGGGATCTCTCTGATTCTAGATATGTCTCTTTCAGAATTCTGCTGTCAGTCATACAAGTAAATCAAAAAAGAATCATGTAGAGGCTTATTGGGTTTCCCCGACAGATGCACCAGAACATGTACAATTTCTGTAAGTCAACAAAGTATTAGTGCTATTTTACAAAAATGCAAACTAGATGAAAAACCACTGCTTTTTCTGTCATAAATATTAACTAGCACCCAAGAAATGTCTCTGGGGGAACTGGCTCTGCTGTTGGTAGAAAATTATCAACGTTCTCTCCTCTTTTGAAGTTGGGGGCGGGGGGAGAGTTTCAAGGCTTGTTACTGGTTGACACTGGCCTACTACTTAGGATATTTCCTAGTTCTAGGCAATGAGTGACTTGTAAATGTAGCAGTGGAAATATTTCTGTGATGTGCAACTTTTTTTTTAGTTTAATTCCTAAATAAAACTGCATGTGTACCATGCCATTATATGACTGTTCTGGAACCGGGATGTATGGTATGATCATAGAAACTAAATGCATCCTGACATTTCTGTGATGCTTCAAATTATGTAGCTGCAGCTGGGGAGTGACTGTCTTGAATCTATTTCTGAAGCTGGATCACCTAGATTTTTCTAGATGAAGGTTTTTCATTCCCCCTTCCCTTTCCCAAAACATGAGGTACTGGTGTAGATGAGATCAGTTGTATGATGCAATGTGACAAGCATAATGTTCCTTTGTGGCCAACTAAATATAGGAGTTTCTTCCTCCTTTTTTGTAATGTACTATTCAGTCGTTCATTAGTACTCGAAATACTCAGTACTGAGTGAGGAATGTTTGTGTCACTTCTCTTCCCCTCTCCCTTTTCCAGAGCCACAGTTGTAGAGAAATATAAACTCTTTTGGGTGAAGATTCTTGGCCCTGTTATTTCCCAGCCTAATGCACCACCTTTGACAATTCCTACAAGTATTACACCAGACACTCTGCCAACTTCCCAGCCAGTTTCTCACCTAACAAAATCGGTATGTATCATTTCTGTATTATTAGCTAAATTCTGCAGTCTTTATTCAGTTCTCATCCCTGGTTTCAATAGGAGCTTTTTCAAAAGAAGGACTGCAGTTAATGCTTTCTTAGCCATTGTGTTGCCAGAAGATAGGAAATGAAATCAGATTTTTGTAATATAGTGGTGTTATAGCCATGTTCATCTTAGGCTATTAGACAGACAAGGTGGGTCAGGAAATGTCTTTTATTGAACCAACTCCTCTCTCTCTCTCTCTCTCTCTTTTTTTTTCTCAACTTGTCTTTCTCAGCAACAGAAGTTGATTCAATAAGACTACTTTACCCACATTTGTCTCTGTCCAATTATTAACTATTGAGGTGTTAAGAAACAAGGGATGAAGTACAGAAACTCAGTTCAAGCTCTGATTGGTAAAAAGTCAAAAAAATAAAATGCATAAGTTAACCTGGGGAGTCCTTTTATGCTCCACGTATAAAGAGCCATGCTGATTTGTGGCTCTGTATAAATAAAACTCAAGTTTAATAAAATGAGGGTAGGTAGAAACAAGAATTATTTCTATACATGAGTGGGTGAGCCTAATTTATAACTATATTGTTCACATGCGTTTTCTTCAGATGAAGTTCCATTACTGGTTCTTGAAGTTCCAAAATGGCAACATTGTCAGGCAATAGCATTATCATTTAACTTTATCAGACTTAGCAATATGTCATCTCTTCCATTTACTGCTAACTTGAATTTTAAAATGGTGAACAACCCTGAGTTCAATGCCATAATTGCATGTCTGTGCAGCTTAACTTTTCTTAGTGAGTTTATTTATTAACCAATAGGGGAAAAGCAGACTCCCCCCCCTATAATGTGCACTATTTGGAGTTTGCAAGACTTCACAGGAATATCTTTCTAATAACTTAAGCACTTTGGGACTGTTAATGACTTAGAATAGTTCAAAAAGCGAGCTACCAGGAAGTGGTTTTTTTTAAAAAAAATTTTTTTTACTCGAGTTAATTATAACATATTTTATTAATGAGATACCAGGAAGTGGTTTTTTTTTTTTAAAGAATTTTTTTTTTACTCGAGTTAATTATAACATATTTTATTAAGCAGAAGAAATATCCTTGAACAGGAGGGGATTGTATTGCACCTCCAAAATTATAGCCTTGTTACCATTATGATGTCAAGCTCTTTCATTTAAATGCATTGGTGAATTCAAAGCTCACAATTTAATAACTGCTATGACCATGAATTCTAATCTTGGTTAGTAATTATTGGCTGAGTGAGGAAGAAGGGGTTCTTTATGCATTTTCTGTGTAAATCTTCTCTTCTTCTTTAATTGGGACCACATTAATTGTAGTGGCACATGGGGTGGGGTAGGATGGAGAATGACCAGGTTGTTTTGTTAACTTAATTTTCTACTTGTCTGTCTAGTTTAATGCCTCAGGCTGTGGAAATACAAAGTTCTGCATAAGGAATCCTCCAAAATGTGATCCTGGGGCTGCCGACTGTTTCTTTCTGTCGTTCAAACAAAATAACCACTCAATGCTTATTGAAATGAGTGGTCCTAGTGAAGGCTATATAGCCTTTGCATTATCTCATGACCAGTGGATGGTGAGTAGTCTTTTTACAGTATTTCCTATGCCATCCAAGTGGCACAACAAAATACGTAGTTTATACTTAGTCAAGAAATTGAAAATGAAGATTTCTGTTGCCCCAACATTATCAGCTGCACATCTATCAGACTTGTTGCAAGTAAATAGAGTTAAGCGTGAGTAGTAGTCTAAGAACCCCACAAGAGAAACTGAAATGCTGCCGGAAGAGGTGATAGTAGCACTTCTCCCACTAAATAGTTACTCCCATGTGGTGCTCGAGAGCGCTGTTGGATGGAGGTGGTCTCTTACAGGTATGAAAAGAAGAATGTAGTCCCTGACTTAGCACTTGCTTTAAAATCCTCTGGCACTCCTTGAAAGAATGAGTACATACCTTCTTTTGGTCGAATCCTGGATAGGTGTAGTTAGGCGAGTTATTCTCCATTGCCTATCCTGAAAGTAATCTCTGAAGTGCTGTATGTTTACTTATTCTGTTCAGAAACCAGTTTACAGTTCTGTGATGATCACTAGGGATGTGAATGGTTAACCAGAGGGGGCTAGGACAGTTCCCTGCCAGACCTGAGCAGCCCCTGCTACCCTTGAATCGGTTAATATAATGTTTAATTGGTTAAGCCGTTAAACAGGATTTTATGTTCTTAGTGGGCACAGTCATTCCTGAAAGCCCTTCAGTGGCTCTTATGAGTTTACAATGGGAGACAGTATTGTGACTGGTTGGATCACAGAGGTCCACTTGAAGACTGTCACCTGCTTTGCTAATGCCTGTCCTCTGGAGCTCTACATCACCTTGTCCTGCTGGGCTGATGGTCTGGTCTCACCCAGCAAAGACACAGAGTTGCTTCCTTCCCCCCCCCCCCCATTCCCCAACCAGCAGAGTAACACAGACATTGATAACAGTTCTGGAAGGGCTCAACTACAGGGACTTAACAGCACTCAGCAGCATAGCTCTCAAAAGGGACCAAACCTGCAAATAAATTCCATCTTTCTCTATAAAAGTTTTACACAGAGTGAGAACTTATAGAATTCGCTCTCCATCCATGAAAGAGAAATGTGCACAGCTGTTGATTGTTCTCCCCCACTCCCCGGTAACTGATATTTACCCTGGGCTTGATAATAAAGTGCTAAGCCTCATACACTAAGGCTGTGTCTACACTGGCAAGTTATTCCAGAAAATCAGCCGCTTTTCCGGAAAAACTTGCCAGCTGTCTACACTGGCCGCTTGAATTTCCGGAAAAGCACTGGCTATCTAACATAAAATCATCAGTGCTTTTCCGGAAAAACTATGCTGCTCCCGTTCGGGCAAAAGTCTTTTTCCGGAAAACTGTTCGGAAAAGGGCCAGTGTAGACAGCACAGTACTGTTTTCCGCAAAAAAGCCCCGATCGCGAAAATGACGATCGGGGCTTTTTTGCGGAAAAGCGCCTCTAGAATGGCCACAGACGCTTTTCCGGAAAAAGTGCTTTTGCGGAAAAGCATCCTGCCAATCTAGATGTGCTTTTCCGAAAATGCTTTTAACGGAAAACTTTTCCGTTAAAAGCATTTCCGGAAAATCATGCCAGTGTAGTCGTAGCCTAAGAGAAATTGTTACAAAATAAAACTCCTGACCCTAGTACTTATTTCAGGTAAAATTCTTAGTCAGAGTGTTACCTGGCCTGCATCTAACAGCTTCTTCCCTCATTACTCTTTGTTTTCAGGTCTCTTCACGTTTATCTCCTCTTCTGATGGGGAGGAAGTTTCAAAAAACCCCTCTTGTTTTTTGTTTCAAAAGACCCAGCTGAAGACCCAGCTCATTTTTTTTTGTTTCCTATTCCTTAAATAGAATTTCCTCAAGGGAGAAATGTTTGTTCAATTCTCTCCTCCCTTTCCTTCTGGAAAAATATGAAATTCAAGATGGATTTCAGCACCAGGTGGCGTGGTCACATGTCTGTGTAGGACCAGCCACAACTTGGGCTTGCAGGAAAAACAACCATTTATAGATCATTGTCTTGATCACCAGGCCATAAAGTTCCTCAAGTACAACTAATGGTTTTCACTAGATGACCTAGAACTAGTAAAACAGATTTACATTTCATATTTCTGACTTCACATACAAGAATGATATATGCACACAAATAGGATTTACACAGTCAAGGGACTATAGGCTCTTGAATGATATGTTACTTGTCCTGTTATACATATCATATTCAAAACATATTTCCATAAAAATATGGGGGTGTACCATCACAAGTATTGTGCTCTTATCAAGTGGCTCCCAATCTCTCAACTACTGTGCCCCTCTCAGGAGCTTGATTTGTGTTGCATACCTCCCAAGTTTTGCCTCACTTACAAACCACTTGTTTTCAAAATTGATATTAAAAATGTCGCAGGATGCTATTACTGAAAAATTGCTCACTTTTTTTCTAATTTTTACCATACAATTTTAAAATCAGTTGGATTATAAATATTATACGTACACATCACTATGTAGAACAGTATAACCAAATCATTGTATAAAACTGTATTTTGTAGTGACTTTGCTAGTGATTATGTAGCCTGTTGTAAAAATAGCCAAATAAGTACATGAGTTGATGTATCCCCTATAAGATCTTTGTGTACCACTATGGGAATCTGTACCCCTGATTGGGAGCCACTGCAGTAATCTGTATATCTAAATTCTGTACTGAACAGAAGGCATGTACTCATTCTTTCAGAGAGTGCCAGAGGATCTTTAAGGGAAGTGCAAGTCCGGGACTACCTTTTTGCTAACCACACGTGTAAGAGACCATGTCCCTCCAACAGCCTTCTTGAGCATTCCTAAGCATTTCTATATCTATCATTGTCCCAAGAGAAAGTATCTCTTCACTCTACAAGTATGGGAAGAAATAATGTTTTCTTTGTTTACAACAACTAGAGTTAGCTGTTGAAGTAATCCTATAACTTGATGTAAATTAATCTACTTTTTTTTAAGCTATTTAAGATGCTCTGGCAATAGAGGTGGGAGATGCTTCTTCATTACTTTCTACAAAGCAATTTTATTTATAAGCAAGTTATTAATTTGAGTTAAAATCTCCTCCCCTTTTTTTTGCACTGATATTTAGATTCCCAAAACACTGTCTCTGGATTGCTGGAGACCATGAACAAACTGTTTTACAGACTATTCGGTGCTCACTGCATAGTTATAAAGTACTACTGACCCCTGGTGGTGAGACTTTATTATTTAATGCACTACAGGCAGTCCCCGGGTTACGTACAAGATAGGGACTGTAGGGTTGTTCTTAAGTTGAATTTGTATGTAAGTCGGAACTGGTACATATGGTAGGGGAAGCTCTAGCCAAACATTTCTCCAGAGCTCAGTTTTATTCTCCCACACCTCACTTCCCTCAATCCTTTATTCTCAAGCTGAGGTGTCTCCTGAGAAAAGCCACTCCGCGTCTCCCTGGTCTGCGGTGGGGGAGGGCTAGCTTCGCGTCTCCCTGGTCTGCGGTGGGGGAGGGCTAGCTTCGCGTCTCCCTGGTCTGCTGTGGGGGGCACAGCTAGTGCAGGGTTGCCTCACCCCGTTTGTAAGTAGGGATCCGATGTAAGTCGGATCCGTGTAACCCGGGGACTGCCTGTACTTACTTGTGTTGTTGGAGTTAAAACTAAAACATTCGTTTCTTCAGCTTGTTAATGTAAATTTGGGCTTTGGCATATTCCATGCTACTAAATACCTAATCAGTTTTTTTTCTAGCCAGTGTTTGAACTTACAAAATCAAATTGTCACCCCAAAAAAGGTGTTTTCATCAGCTTTTTCATACGCCAGGCAGATTTTCAGTTTAGTTTCACCATTATAAACTTGCTGTAATGACAGGGAAGTTACTCTGGGTATCTCACAGATGAAAAGGAAAGCTTGGAATAAACATGATTTTGTCTAATTATCTAAAATAGACAAAATAATGCTTTTATTTTCAGGGTGATGATGATGCGTATCTGTGTATTAATGAAGATCACCGTATTAATGTAAATACTGCCTATCTGAGTGGGCGAACTCCTCCTGTGTTGGATTCAGAGGTATGGTGTCCTAATTTGTCAATATCTCACTGATATTCATTATATATAAAAACGCTGCAATAGCTCTCCATGGTGCTAATAAAGTTCTACAGGCGGCTATCTTATGATAAGGACCCTCAAGATCTTTCCCTTTCTGGACTTATTGACCCACCTCACGTGGAAAGTGCTCATTTTTTATGCATATGGCATGTCTTAACTCAGATCTGTAGCTAGCTTCTTTGAATAACCTGGGGGGCAGTTCTCTTGTGGTATGGGGAACTGGCCTGTTTTTGCCCTGTCTCTGCCAGGGAAACTTTCTACAATTCTTTTACCATTGCTAATCCTGATGGAGCTCTATGGCGTGTGTGTGTGTGTGTGTGTGTGTGTGTGTGTGTGGAGTCTAGAGTGACTCTACAAAGAGTACTGAGAGTAAAAGAATGATAGCATGAAAGTGACTTGTTCAAGGCAATGCTGAGATGGCTGGCTAATGGGTAATAGAATGCAAATTTCTTGATTCTGCTGTTCGGCGAAGCACTCCTCCCTCTTTTTACCTCATGCTCTCTGTGTAAGCAAGTCATTAAACCTCTTAGGGTATGTCTAGACTATACGGCTCCATTGACGGAGCCATGTAGATGAGTTTACTAGACATAGGAAAATGAAGCAGCGATTTAAATAATCCCTGCTTCATTTACATCAAAATGGCTGCCGCGCTGTGCTGATCAGCTGTTTGGTGGCACAGCGGGGCAGTCTGGATGTGCCACGGACGACAAGGGAAGCCTTTGTCGACTGCTCCAGTATGCCTCGTGAAATGTTGGCTTATTGGCCAAGTAGAGCCACGCCCAACTCACTGACCTTGAGGAGGGAGGGGAGAGAATTTATGTGGGATCTTTCAAACTTGAAAAGAACAAGCATTAAATGTCCATGACTTGTTCCATAGAATGGCCTTGAAGATATCTCCTGGAGGGTGGCTGATGGTGTCGTTCAGTGCTCTTTCAGAAGAAACCTTCATCTTCCTGCTTATAAAGGGAGGTTTAATCTGGATGCCAATTATTACATATTTCTGGCAGACGGAGAGGCAAGTGAGGGTAAGTTTGACTGAAGGTGTGGTTAAACATTCATATTTCTCAAACCATGCCAAACAGTGCCTGCTCCCTATATAAGATGTACTAAAAAAGAACATTGAAAAGCAGGTTGGATAGACATCTATCTGGGGTGATCTAAACAGTGCTTAGTCCTGCTGTGAGGGCAGGGCACTGGACTCAATCTCTCAAGGTCCCTTCCGGTTATAGTATTCCATGATTCTATGAAACAACTTTAATATAATGAGTGCTGACTCATCTCTGGTAATGTAACAAAAATCTAGTTTGTTCTTAACACAAATGAGTTCCATAACCATCTGGTGCTTGGAGTAGGATTCTTGAGAGAGAATCCTATATTGTTTTTAATAGGGATCAAACTAAATAGCATTGTCTGCAAGATCCTCATCATTCTTTATTAGATCTATAGGTGTTTGAAATCTTTTGTTTTAGGCTGTCTGTGCATGTTAAGATTTTCTCAGATTATAATAAAACTCAATTGTTGGGAGTTGTGGAACCCAAAAGATTCCACTCAGAATCTTGAGGGGACATATAGGGAGACAGCTGTTTGTACAGCATATGGTGCTCACATGAATTGTAAACAAAAGATGGGAGGAGAAGGGTTACAAGCACAGTGACTTTAATTATATGTAAACTATTCTGTATTTTTGCCTAGGAGGTCTAATTTACAAACATAATCGTCAGCCTCTGATCACCAATGGAATGTACAATGTCACAGACTCTCCAAAGGATGTAGGGGGATCCCGCTCTCCCCTTCTTCTTAAAGTTCATGGCAAGTAACAGTTTTAACTTCAAAGATTTGCCCTGTGCTGAAGAGGCCTGATGACTGTAGAAAGAAGGATGAAAATTTTGTAAAGTAGCTATTTTCCCATCCTCTGGTATATCTGCAGTCCACTGAGGTATCTGCTTCTCCAGATATGAGCTGGCTTGGACAAATAGGACCACTAATGTGGCCTGACCGACTAATGTGGCTTTGCATGATTCTATGCATTCATTGGAGAAGAGTTTATTTACTCATTTGTCAAACACATCACTAGCTCCCTTGGCTTTAAAGGAGTTTTGTTTTTGTATTTTTGTAACTGGGCAGTCTGAATTTAGAATTGCATCTCTATTTTGAAGTTCCTTTTTTCCAATACTTTTTGGAATGAAAATATTTTGTTAAAGAAGACCTGCTTTATATTTAAACTAAGATTTAATTTAGATTTATAATTTAAAAAATTCACTAGCTGAAGCTAGTGAGTGGGCTGCATGAGTGGCCCTCCAGGATTGTTGTAACCAAGATGGTCTCCCGGGATAGGATGGTCTTGCTAACTGCACTTGCATACCTAGAGTTTGTGAGGTGAACTCTCAGTCAATGTTGTATGCAATCAGCACACCCCTCATTTCATGTGCCCTTGGCTTGATATGCATGTCACTTTACTAATAGCAGTAGGAGAATAAAGCTACCCAGATGGAAAGCAGAAGAATGTGGCAACCCTGCGTGTGGGAATCGGTAAACATAATGTGTCTCAGCCCATACGTAGAACACCCCCCACCCTGACGGGCTGTCTGTGGGCCGTAGGTTGCTCGCCACTGGTCTAGGTGCTCATTTAAAAAAAAAAATCTGTGATCAGCAGATGAAGCATAGGTTCCTCACTACCGCCTTTGTCTTTGACTTGTGCTATTGCATAGTAAATAGGCTCATAGAGCAGGGGTGGGAAACCTTTCTTGGGTCAGGGGCCACTTACCTACAGAAATCAGTTGGGGGCCACACCGGGGCAGGGGGGGACGGGGAGGAAGACACACTTTTTCACTGATGTGGCCCCTGACTGAGAAGAAGGAAGACATGCCCTATATTTCCCCTCTCATACCATAGCCTATTGGGGTGCAGCCTCATAGATTTTGTGTGCTCCAGTCCCGACGTAGGAGTTGGTGGTGGTGGGGTGGGGGGGGGTGCTGAGCCTCAGGGGCCAGATCCAGTCAAGCTGGCGGCCACATTCAGCCTCTGGGCCTGAGATTCCCCACCCCTGTCGTAGAAGGCAGCAGTACACTGCCCTATGGTTTAGAAGTGAAAGCTATACGTTTGTGAATGTGCTGCTATTGCTGACCTAACATTGATCTCTCTCCACTGCTGGATCAATCCTATTGTTGACTGGTCTCTGCTAAAAAGAAATAGATATTTAATGTAGCAAGAGTACACCAATGTGTATATGCACGTCTTTGTGGGAGGCATTTTTTAATCCAGTACCAGCAGGGTTTGACCTCCTTCTCTCATGGTTTTCTAATGCTAAATTCTGAGGCCTGCCTACTGCGTTATTTTGTCAATTGTGTTCATACCCGTTGTGTTAACCCAATTTTCACATGTGGCTATTTTCTCCTTCAGCTTCACTAATGTTTGTTGCATGGATGACTACAGTTAGCATTGGTGTTATTGTTGCCAGATTCTTCAAACCCGTTTGGCCTTATTCATTGTTTGGAAAGGAGATTTGGTTCCAGGTAGGCAAAAAACCCACAACAAACTATGCATACCAGTTAGCCGTGTGCTAGCTTATTACAGATAGTTAGAATAAAACTTTAATGCTCCTACATCTTCTCTTACTACTAAACCTGGAGTGCCATAACTTTCATTTGCGTAATTCAATGAGCTCCATTAGGTATTCTCATATTTACAATGGATTTTGTCTTTACTATAATCTCTGCTTGCCTGCCCATGTATTGCAGACTCTAACAATTTATTTTAATAACATTCCTAAATACTCTTCTACTCTTAAACTATTAAAATGTTCATAGGTACATCGCATGCTGATGTTGACCACAGTGCTTCTTACAAGCATCGCGTTTGTTCTTCCGTTTATATATAGAGGTGGCTGGAGTGAAGTAAGTAAATTCAGTAGATCTGTGTTTTTGTTTTGTTTTAATGTCCATCCATGCTACAGGTAGTTATTAATCCCCGCCCGCCCCCAAATTGCCTTGAAAGCGGTTACCCCATGGCTGTGCTTGAGTAATCTCCTGATAAGTGTAAATCAGGCATTTATCTTGTTTTCCTGCTTATTGCTGCTTCCAATTGAAAAATCACAGTGCAGTTACCATTTCTGGTTTTCCCTTGTTTAGAATTATTCTGCCTGCTTTAAGCCCACTTCTACCCCTCCCCCCCCTTACTTTTACCATAGATCTTTTTCCATCTCTAGTTTCTATCTGCTACTTTCTTTCTCCCCTTGCTCCCCACTGCAGTTTATTCAGAACTCGTGGGTACGTCTAGACTACAGGCTTTTGTCGACAAAGCCTCTGTCGACAAAGAGCGTCTAGACTACAGCCAGGTTTGTTTTCGACAGAATCTAGAGGCTCTCTTTTGAAAAAGCACAGTGTGGTTGCAATAGCACCTTTTGTCGACAGAACTCTGTTGACAAAAGGCGTTATTCCTCGTAGAATGAGGTTTACCGCTGTCGACAAAACTGCCACATTCTGTCGACTTAATGTCGACAGAACTCAGCGGTAGTGTAGATGCAGGTATAGTTTTGTCCACAAAAATCCACTTTTGTCGACAAAACCGTGTAGTCTAGACACACCTTCTCTGTGGTATAATTTTCCAGTCAGTGCTTTATCCAGCCTAGTTTTTAAATGATGGTGTATAAAGCACTCTTCTTAGATCAGTTTTCCTATCTGTGGTGATAGTATTTGACATCAAGTTCATCCCAATCCTAAGTCTGAATTTTTCTTTTCTTAATTGTCCCTTTGCTCTCTTGTCCCCATGTTCCACTCATTTTGTTTTTCTCAAGCTGCCTTCTATCTTGCATACCATTCAGTTTTAAATTAATTTAAAAAACATACAGTAGAGGGAAATATGCTTCTGCTTGTAGCCAAGACTTTGATGAAAAGGTGAGATGGGAACATAAGTAGCTGAGGATAAGGACTTGGAATGCCCCTGAAGGAATTGGTTAAAACAAGCCTTTGGAACTGTGTTAAGTTGTTTCTGACGTATTCCTTTGTCTAAATGATGTTTGCCTTGTTCAGCATGAATGTCACAGTATTAATGAAAGGAATCCTTTGTTCAGCGAGCAGGCTTTCATCCATACCTGGGCTGTACCGTGATGGCTTTGGCAATCTTTCAACCTCTGATGGCAGGTTTCCGACCCCCTCCGCACGCACCAAGGTACTCCGATATTTATGCTCATTAAAATGTCGTCAGGTACATCCCCCACAGTTTGCATTGACTGTATACTAAAGATTTTTGAGCATGTTTTACACAGATATAAACTCTCTAATTTTTCAAGATAACCTACCATATTTAAGGATCCTTTTTCCATCCTTTTAAAGATTTTGTGTTGATAACTAAATTAAATATAACACTGATTTATATATCTAAAATATAACTAAATTGATATAACACTGATTACCTTTTATCTTGTAGAAGGCATGTATTTAACTGGGTTCACTGGAGTACTGGCACAACAGCTAGAATACTAGCTGGTGAGTAATTTTAATCCATTCTAGGCATATCTAGTGTACCTCATTGTTTATAGCCTAGTTGTAACTTGCTTGTGTGTCTTGCAATATTGGTTTTTGCAGAAATGGAGTGGTTGTTGAACACTAGCTTGTACAAACATGGATATTAATGTAGATAACTACTTAAATCTTAAACAAAAGAGAGGACTATGCAGCTCTTTAAAGACTAACAAGATGGTTTATTAGGTGATGAACTTTCGTGGGCCAGACACACTTCCTCAGATCAAATTGTGAAAGACAATTGGCATGACCATACATACCAAAGGGATACAATCAAAAAAAGTGAACACACTTAAAAAGGACAAATCGAATTTCAGAACAGAGGCGGGATGGGGGGGGGGTGAGCTAATGATATTAAAGGTGATAACTGGGGAAGCTATCTTTGTAATGGGTAAGGTAATTAGCATCTTTGATGAGACCCAGTCGTAAAGTGTCAAATTTAAGCATGAATTACAGTAATTCATGCTTAAATTTGACACTTTATGAATGGGTCTCAACAAAGATGCTAAAGTGTCAAATTTAAACATTAATGACTGATTTTTTTTTTCCACTCTTAATCCTCCAGAAGTATATTTAACTCTTGATATAACCATTCCTCCACCAAGCCATAAGATTGTATTGCTTTGTCTTAAGAGCAGTACTTTAAACTATGACTTTGTTTTAATAGTGGTGACGATGTTTCTGGGAATGGACCTACCAGCACTCAACCTTCCTGATCCATGGGACACTTACACAATGATTGGATTCGTAGCTTGGCATGTTGGTATTGATGTTCTCCTGGAGATACATAGCTACTGTCTCATTCGCAAAGGTACAAACCAAACAATACAGCTAGTGTCACTGTCTTGCTTGTCAACTAGTTCTAAATAGGACTTCTCAGAAGAAATGCAAACACTTGGATAAATTAAAAGCGACGAGGAGTCCTGTGGCACCTTATAGACTAACTGAAGTGTAGGAGCATAAGCTTTCGTGGGCAAAGACCCACTTCGTCAGATGCATGCATCTGACGAAGTGGGTCTTTGCCCACGAAAGCTTATGCTCCTACACTTCAGTTAGTCTATAAGGTGCCACAGGACTCCTCGTCGCATTTGCAAATCGTGTCACTAAAAAAAATGAGTTAATTCAGTTGAGAGGCTTAAACCAGCCTCTGATACTGTGCTTGCAAAAACCTACTAAATTAGGTGATTTTTTAAAAAAAATTAATATGTGGAATAGATGCATACAAGTGGATGAAAACTTACATGCGAATTTGACCACTCTTGAAAAATGGTCCCAATAAGTGAATTGTTTTGGACACTTCTGGTTAGGATTTCCTGACTGTAAGGGCTGGTGTAGCTTTTTGACTCAGCCCCTATGTCATGAAAACCTAAATCTTAATGCCAGAGGGTCATGTGGTTCTCTTAAAATGTACTCCAGAACGTCTTCCTTGAGATACTATATATTTTTGTTGGTCTCTGTGGTGCCACTGGGCTACTCCGTTGTTTTTAAAAATCTTCATTTTTTGTTGCTAGCTTATCACTGGCAATTGTGATGTTATGAGGAAAGTCCAGCTTTGGGTGGGAGTGAAGAAAGTCCTTTTGAATTTAGGTAAGCAGTAGTATCTGCTGCCCTCAATCAATTTATGGTAAACTATTACAGTAATTAACTATGGCTGCCTATGTACAAACAGACTGGTAACTACCAGAGGACCTTAAGCACAAACTCTGTTTAGCAGCTAATGAGTTACTCATTCTAGCTCAAATACCAGGGCCCAGACCCCATTGAAATCCATAGGAGTCTTGCAGTTTCAGTAAGGACAGGACTTCACCCCAAGTTCACATCTCCACTATGGTCACAGTCGCTAGGAATCCAGATTGTACACGCAAGCAAATAGACCAGCCTAGTAGTAAAAAAGGATGGAGAGCAGTTGTTACAGTATGTGAAAAGTGATAGTTATTAACACAGAATTCAGAGAAGAGGCCCAATTTAGCTGCTATTTGGAGAACCGGCAGAAGTTAGATCCTGCCTATAGATGGGCAGGGGGCCGGTGGTGGTGAAGAGGAATTGGGTGACTCCTAAACTACTGCCTTGAGTAACAAGAGGATAGTCGTATCAAATGGCACAAAATGGAAGGGTGGGGGAAGCAAAAGCGTCTTAAATTCAGCAGTCCGTGAGAAATCTAGGGGGCTAGTTTACATTTCTGTATCAACTGTCCTCTTCAGCAGTGGTAGATCTTGACACTCCCAGTGTACTGTAGGAGTGTCCCAGTCTAATTTCAGGAGTCTGTCTTGTGTACCCCTCAATTTTTTCACTTCACTTAAACTATTTGCTTACAAAATCAGACCTAAATATACCAAAGCATCGCAGCACACTAATGAAAATTGCGTACTTTTCATTTTTACCATATGATTATAAAATCAATTGGAATAAAAATATTATACTTACATTTCAGTGTATAATATTAAAGACAGTGTAAAGTCATTATGAATCTTTGGCTGTACTGATTTCACTAGTGCTTTTTATGTAGCCTCTTATAAAACCTAGGCAAATATCTAGAAGTGTTGAGATTGCAGGTGTTTAGGAGTTGCACGGTGTTATGCATACCCTTGCTTGAGAACCATCCGCTTTCATCATTAAAAAGAAAAAATACTGAGTTTTCTCTCTGCTTCTGGCAAGCTCTTCCATATTTCCAACAACTTTTATCTTTATTTCTACTTTGAACAGTGAAGTATAGGCCATGAAAAAACATGTGACATGAGGCTTTTCAGTGGTGTTTCTGAACTGGCTGGAGAAATGTCTGCTCATCAGCCTTTATACAGGGCATTCCATCCATTGAATTACTTCTTTATAGCTAATACAATGTTTTACCACATAATCATCTATCTTTTATCAAGTAGCGGGCTAACCACACATTTGTTTTGATTTTTACAGTTGAAGTGATTGATGATGATAGGATACAAATTCTGCAGTCACTCACATCGGCAGAAGCAGAGGCAAGTTGCAACCTTGCAAAGAAAAGCATGTATTGTAAAGTACTTTCCAGCATAATAATTGTGACACGTATATTCTCTCCTCTAGGGTCATACATTTAAACAAATAATGTTAACCATCTACATCTGTGGAAATGCAGCGTTCCTTATTACCTTCCTGACAGCAATCCACCAAGTATGAAAACTATGACTTTCTGGCAAGGACATAGATGTGGAACATTTGCAGTGAAATCAAAAGTGAAGCACCACTCAAGGAATTCTTACTGATAAAATTGTTGCCTCAATACCTTCCTGAAATTATACTTGAATAATTGTGTGTGTGAAGACTTAATCCATCTGCACTCTCAGAATCAAGAAAATGTAGGTTCAGATTCTAAGGATGGATGCTGCAGTCCTGCCGAAACTATCTTTAGATTTTTTTATGGGAGTCTTTTCCTAAGTAAAAATTGCAATAATTTTTAATACAGTAGTTTAACCTTTTGTTTCGAAGAATGTAGGCTGAGGAGATATGATTCCAACTACTGGCTGGAAGGGATGGAAATCACTGTTGATCTCATCAGAATTGTGTTAACCTACATGCACAGTTTTGGAATACTGAATAGACAAGTCCCAAATCTGCTTGTCATATAGTTCAGTTTACCATGTTGCTTAATGAATAATTTACTGCCTAATGGCTCTTACTTAATGTAGGTGGTATCAGTATTGTGCACTCCAAAAATCTAGACACAGAGACTGTCACAAACACAAGTTGATGTATCAAGAACTATGTTGCCATATTTCTCTGCAGTTCAATGCATAAACATTTTCTGCTCTAAGAGCAGGTCATATAACATACAAACAGGGCTAAGCTTCAGAACTTGCATCAACCTCAAGATTTTTTTTTTTTTAAAAAGCCCTCAGGACAAAGAGAAAACACAGCTTTATTGCAAACTCATGTAATGTGAGCCATGCTTGTGTTACAACTAGGTGCTTCCTCTGTACGTGTGAGTAACTTTTAGAGAAACTGTGTGTATAAAAATATTCAGTGTCTTCTGGCCACTTGTGGCTTGAAGGGCCATGCTTTGTCAAAATTCCTGCTCATCACTTTGTGATTAAACATGGCACTGTTAGTGCAAGAGAAATGAAGTGTTTCCTTGATCTCTTAGTTAAGTTGATAGAAGCTGCTTTCCCAGAGCTTTTTTTGAATTAGCATATCCATCCAACAGAAGCATGATCTTTTTTGTTTCATCTGCATGGGAATATTAGAGACCTTATGTGTGTGTGTTTGTGGGTGCCTTCCCTCTTTGAGAAGCAAGGGATTCCATAAGCAATACTGATACAAGTACAGAAAGGTGTGGTTTTTTAATTTTGTTTTGTGTGTTTGTCTAAGGGCAGCAGTAGCTTTGCCAACTATATAGTCCCAGCCTGCTATAAGCAGTGCTTTACTAGCATGTGTCACTACAGTAGCACCCAACTCTGAACTGACTTTCATGCTATAATCTAGTTCCTGATGTTTCAAAGCATAAAGATCTGGGTATGTTATAACAGATTTTTTTGCCAACCAGGTGATCACTGACTAGCTGCAAGGGATGAGATGGGGATGAAGAAAGGTATATGAAACCAGACTTGTACCACTCCTCCAAACCTCTCTCTTCTCCCCCCCCCCACACACATTCTCTTAGCAGTTGTGATAAAGTGGTGGCAACCTTTTATGTTGTGTTTTTTTCTCCTTTATTGTGTTTGTCTCCTTTATAGCCTATCTGTACTCTCTCCAGCCCTTTCTGGTCCCCCTCATGTAGTTGGTTGCAGGAGCAGCTTAGTGGAGGGCTATGAGCTAAGGCTGTAGGGTCAATTTTCTTTTCTTCTTGCTACCTCCAGTAGCTATCTTAGCCACACAAGCATGTGGTTCAGCCCCAAGCTGTTTATTGGTAACCCCACCCCATGCAGCCATGGTAGTTTTCAAGTGGGTGTAGGAATGGGAAAGAAGAACCAGCGGTAGCAGAAAGGAGGGAGGAAGTGAAGCAAAAAGAAAAGGAATCTGAGTAAAAAGAGCAAGCACTTGCAAAAACCCTTGTGTGGATACAGAAGGAAAGAAATGACAGGAATTATACTAGGATCTGGATTGGTGGAGATGTGAGTATTAGGAATCTGCTTCAATAGAATATAGGGATGTCTAATCCCAGGAACCTGGCAACCACTGGTACCCTACTGTCCTCTAAATCACTGGCCACTCTGCATATGCTTATAATCATTTCTCTACAGATGAAAAGCTGATATTTCACTGGGATTTGCTTGTTTTAATTATCATTGTCAAGGTCTCTTGCGTGGTTCTTACACTAGTAGCTCTTTGTGCTATGTACTCTAATACCTCAAACATTGTCCATTCTGTCATGGAAATGTGAGCACATTCTGGGTTTTTGTGTGGTTTTTTTAAAATGACTAATAAATACTTTACTTTCAAAGATTTGTCTTGTCTTTTTAATGGGATAAAGACACTTAACAATAAAAGCACAAGATTAGCTTTATTAGGAAAATTTCCTTTTGGCTTGCTGCTGCTTTTCTCTTATAGGCAACATTTATTTGTACAATTACACTATTTTTAATTTAGAAAATTCATAAGATTCATTCCTATGAAAGAACCTTTTGAACTTGAACGGGGTGTGTGTGTGTGTGTGTGTGTGTGTGTGTGTGTGTTTTAAACTCTTCCACCACATGCTTTTCTGACAAGGGTTTCCTGGGATAGCTACTCATGTCAGTTCCACAGATGATGATGAGACTAAGCTTATCTGCTCTTCTCCAAATTAAAAAAAAAATCATGGGATCATGCTGCTAGCATTTAGGCTACGTCTATACCGCTTTCTTCTTGCGCAAAAGTCTAGGCAAGTGAAGCCCAAATTAGCATATCACAGCACTTCATCTGCATAATTAGGGGCTGTTTTTGTGCAAGAGGCTTTTGTGAAAAAAGGAGTGATGTAGACAGCTCCTTGTGCAGAAACAACCTCTAATTAATTATGTAAATGAAGTGTGGTGATATGCTAATCTCTGCTTCACTTGCATAGACTTTTGCACAGAAGGAAGCAGTGTAGTCATAGCCTTATTGATTTAGTGCTTCTTATTTAAAGTCCCTGCACAATGGGCTTGACCATCTCCCAGCAAAGTAGATTTTCAATTAATGACAAAGGGTATTGGGCCAGGCTCAGTACATCTAGGAGCAGAAAACACTGCTCAGGTGTGTTTCCTGGAGCTTGCCTCCCTTTTCTCTGTTTATAACTCTGTGGATGGATCATCCATGGCAGCAGAAGAGAAGACAGCAGGTTTATTTCTAGGGCCATTGAGAACTATTAGCGTTCCTTTCCAATCATTTGGTAATCTAGATTTGAAATAAAGGTAGGTGGATTATTGTTGCATTATATCTTTCTAAGGCTGTATCTTGCCATTAAAATACATTTAATCAAAAGCATAAAAACTAATTTTGTAGGACTGATCATGGCACAATGAAAACTGCCAGCTGAAGACCAGGGGAATTTTGCTGTGTAAGGGAGCATGGATTAAATATACTGATTTTTGGCTTCTTTCATGCCAGTCATTTCAAGTGTAATGTAGTATACTACTTTGCTGCCAGCATCACATTCTGCTTCCTTACTCCTGTGTGAAACCCTATTTGTTTCACCAATGAAAAGATGAGCAGGACCCCTTCCTTGCAAGCGTTTGACACACGGTGTAATAAATCATATTAATAGTTTCATTCTGGCAAAGCATGTCTCCTTTAAGGCCATATTCTGGGTCCACTTCCACTGTGTCATTGATGTTTAACAGAACTGCTCCAGTGGGTTAGGGTTTAATGATCAGTTCCTTGGTTATAAGAGGGCTAATAAAATGAAAGTGGCCTAAAGGAGTTTCTTATAACTAATATCAAAATAATTGGGTGAATAAAAAATATGTACTTATGAGGTCATGATTGAACTGATTGCGACACTTTACAGAGATTGTTGTCCTCTTTCTTCCCCACCCCTCTACAGCTTCCCTGGGGTCACGTTCCAAGAGTCTTTCTTTAGTGGGTGAAGTTGAGGGACTTATGTGCATGATCTGCTGTGGTGTTCTCTTCCCTTATACACCAACAGCATGCACTGAGTTCCTGTGTGCTAAAGAAGGGAAGAGATGAGTCACGGTAAAGCTATGCTGCCCCTGAAAAATTAGTGCTGGTGATTGTTTTGCTGACGATTAATCTGGCCACAGGTGTCAAGGATTTCCACTAACTCTGTATTTCCACCAACTGCTGCTGTTGGTCGTGGTCTTCTCCCCTCCCCCAACCACACATCCTATGAGAGGAGGAATACTTGAGGGGCTCCTATAGTAAGTCATGGAACATCTCACTCGCTGCATGTCAGTCTGAGGATTCTACCCCTATTAACTATGGTTATTCTCGTTACCCACACTAGCATTTGGACTGGTGCTGCATGGATGGAGTTGTGAGTAAATTTATCTCCGCTAATACTGGGTTAAACTTCCAATAGATTTAAAGTGAAATTAATCCCTTTGCCTCCTCAGACACCCCCATGCCTCTGACTTCCTTGTCCCAGAACTTTGAGGGGGGGGAGGGAATCCCCCCAGCATAGAAGGAGAAAGGAAAGGACTCTGTCATTTTAGGATGGAAATGCCAGAAAGAGAATGTGGGTAGACAGACTAGGAGGAGAAAACTGGCAAAAGGAAAAAGCGAAACAATAGGGCTACGTCTACACTGGCATGATTTTGCGCAAATATTTTTAATGCAAGAGTTTTTGTGTTAAGAGTATTTGAGCAAGAAAGCGTCTATACTGGTCTGGGACTCATTATAAGAACGATGCTCACCAGGTAGGCCATGGCGTCCCTGTGCCATCCCCAACCCACCGTGCAGAGGTCCTTGTGGAGTCTGAACACCAGTACCCACTGGTGGGACTGGCTGGTCCTGAGGCAATGGGACGACCAGCAATGGCTCCGGAACTTTCACATGCGAAAGCGGATGTTCCTGGAGCTGTGTGCCTGGCTCACCCCTGCGCTCCAGAGAAGCACTACCCGGCTGTGGGCACCCATCCCAGTCGAGAAGAGGGTTGCCATCGCACTATGGAAGCTGGCCACCCTGGACAGCTACTGATCGGTGGCACACCAGTTCAGGGTGGCCAGATTGACCGTCGGTGCTGTCGTCATGCAGGTAAGTCCCGGGGAGAGGGAGGGGGAGGGTGCTGCACTCCATGCCCGGGGCAGGCAAGGCTCCAGGCTGGGTCACCCGGGGGTTTGGGCTGTCCTTCCCTTGCACAGGCCTGCTGGTGTGGGGGGGAGGGTTGTGGGGCAAGGGGGCCCTGGTATGTGTAAGGACAGAGGACATCACAGGGCCCCCCCTAAGGGAGCATGCATTCAGGGGGCCTCCCCCCAAGGGACCATGCACTCACCCTGCCTTATGTGATGCGTTCCCCTGTCTTTCTCTGTACCCTTCTGCAGGTCCTCCATGTCATCAATGACGTCCTGCTCCAGAGAGTCATCCGCCTGCGTGACATGGAGGCTACGGTGGCTGGCTTCGCTGCCCTCGGATTCCCCAACTGTGGGGGAGCCCTGGATGCAACCCACATACCCGTCCGTGCCCCGGAGCATCGAGCGGCCCATTTCATAAACAGAAAGGGGTACTTCTCCATTGTACTCCAGGCCCTCGTGGACTACTGTGGCCACTTCCTGGACATTTATGCGGGCTGGTCCGGCAGGGCACCCGACGCCCGCATTCTAAGAAACTCCATCCTGTTTGAGAGGCTGGAGGCAGGCACTTACTTCCCCCAGTGTAGATTTACAGTCGGGGACATGCCAATGCCCACATGTACTGTGGGGAATGTGACTTACCCCCTGCTGGCCTGGCTAATGCGGCCCTACATGAGGCGGCCAGACCACAACCAGGCCCAGTTCAATGACCGCCTCAACCGGGCCTGCAGCCAAGTGGAGTGCGCCTTCGGGTGTCTGAAAGTCCGGTTCCGTTGCTTACTCACCCATCTGGAGATGGGTGAGCGGAATGTCCCGGAGGTAGTGGCCGCGTGCTGCGTGCTCCACAATCTCATGGAGCAGAGGGGGGAGGCCTTCCTCCCGGCATGGATGGCAGGCAAGGGCCAGGCCTACGATCAGCCCCGCACAGCTGCCATCCGCCAGGCGCACCACGATGGGGTGCACATCTGGGAGGCCCTGATGGAGATGTTCTCCCGGGCCCCATAGTAGGGTCACCTCTGTCTCCCTTGACATCTCCCTCCCATTCCCTACCCTTCCCTCCTCCCCTCCCCTTACCTCCCAATAAACAACCAATACAGGTTTTTTTGGAACACAACGTTTGAACTTTTTATTTACAATGGGGAGGGGGGAGATGTAGGATGGGAGGAGGAGGGGGAGGGGGAACAGGCTCTTAACTGGGAGGGGTGGCCCCTGCGATTGCTTCTGCGGGGGCGGACCTGCACATGGGGGTCAGGCCGCATAGGGGCAGGCAGCACAAGGAGGTAGGCAGGAGGGTCAGGAGCAGGAGGGGGCATGGGCATTGCTATGGGAGGAATGGTGGGTGCATGGGGCAAGGCCATGCCATAATGTATGGCATGGCCAATGTGTGCGGTGAGGGTGGAGATGGCATCTGCCATGTGCACACACTGGGCTTGGAAGGGGCCCCAGGCCTCCTGGTGTCACTGCAGGTCTGCCTCCACTCGGTGCGTGCTGGTTGCCGCCACCCGTTCGATGGCCTTCACGTGGCGCTGAAGGAGCTGGTCCCGCTGCCTGACCCACCAGCTTGGTGCTTGGGCGGCTGGGAGTGCTCCTCCTCCCACAGGAGGGCCTCCAGCTCCCCTGGGGACCAGGACGGGGCTCTTCATTTTCTGCCCCTTGGGGCCTCCTGTGCTGGGGGTGCGGGTGGCTGGTCCCCCCCTGGAGCAGCCGTCCTGGTCTGGTGCCTTTTGGGGATGGCAGGAACCATGTGGCAGAGCTCTGGGCAGAGGCGGCAGAAGGGCTTCTGCCTTGTGGCTTCTGCAGGCTGCATCTGCCTTTAAGGGGCTCGGGTTACCAGGAAGTCTGGCGCTGCCTGCAGGTACGGAGCGTCCAAGCGGCCACTAGGGCTTTTTTCCATTTAGACTGCTTTTGCACAAAATGTCTTGGCTGCCTGTCTACATTGGCCTCTTGCACAAGAACACTTGCGCAAGAGGGCTTATTGGGGGTTACATTAGAACGTCAGTGTTCTTGCGCAAGAACTCGCGGCCAGTGTAGATAGGCAGCAAGTTATCTTGCCAATGTAGGCACAGCCTAGGAGAATGTAAAGAGAGACCTAAAGACTGAAGGAGTGAGAGGGAGACCAAGGCAACTAGAAAAGAACTGCCACACAACAGCTTAAGCCTTATTCAGTTTTATTTGTTCTTTTTCCTGCATTGAGTGAAGTCCTATTAAGAGAGATTTTTCAGCCCTACATTTTAA